CTTCCTTCCTTTCTTCCTTCCTTCCTTTTTTCCTTTCTTTTCTTTTCTTCCTGAGATGGAGTCTTGCTCTGTCACCCAGGCTGGAGTGCGGTGGCACTATCTGTGCTTACTGAAACCTCCACCTCTAGAGTTCAAGTGATTCTGCTGCCTCACCGTCCTGAGTAGCTGGGATTACAGGTGTGCGCCACCATGCCTGGCTAATTTTTGTATTTTTAGTAGGGACAGGGTTTCACCATGTTGGCCAGGTTGGTCTCGAACTCCTGACCTTGTGATCTGCCCACCTTGGCCTCCCAAAGTGCTGGGATTACAGATATGAGCCACCGCACCTGGCCTAAAGTAGTTTCAATACATCTTGCAGCAGACTTCTCAGTGGAGACCTACAGGCCAGGAGGCAGTGAGGTGACATATTCAAAATGCTGAAGGAAAAATAACTGTCCAGTGAGATTACTGTACCTGGTGAAAGCTCTCCTTCAAACATGAAGGAGAGGTAAAGACCTTCCCATGCAAATAGAAGCTAAGGGAATTTATCACCATCAGATCTGTCTCACAAGAAATGCTGAGTTCCTCAGTCTGAATAAACAGGTCATTAACTTGCAACAAGAAAGCATCTGAAGCTGTGACACTAACTGGTAAAAGTCAGTATACAGACAAATCCAGTTTATCTAATACTGTGATTGTGGTGTGTAAACCTCCCATAGCTTTCATAGAGAAACTAAAAGATATAATTATAAAAAATAACAACTACAGAAAACTGTTAAGAGATAGGAAGTTTTAAAAAGATATAAATTGAGACATCTAACGTCAAAATATGGAGAGGAAGATGGAGTTAAAATACAGAGTTTTGGCCGGGCGTGGTGGCTCAAGCCTGTAATCCCAGCACTTTGGGAGGCCGAGGCGGGTGAATCATGAGGTCAAGAGATCGAGACCATCCTGGTCAACATGGTGAAACCCCGTCTCTACTAAAAATACAAAAAATTAGCTGGGCGTGGTGGCGCGTGCCTGTAATCCCAGCTACTCAGGAGGCTGAGGCAGGAGAATTGCCTGAACCAAGGAGGCGGAGGTTGCGGTGAGCTGAGATCGCGCCATTGCACTCCAGCCTGGGTAACAAGAGCGAAACTCTGTTTAAAAAAAAAAAAAATACAGAGTTTTTAAGGTTTTGTTGTCATTGCTTGTTTCTGTTCTCCTCTTTGCAATCACAGTTAAGTTGGTATCAGTTTAAAATCATTTATAAGTATAAGATGCTTTTTCTGTAAGCCTCATGCTAATCACAAAGCAAAAACCAGTGATAGACACACTAAAAACAAAAAGTAAAGGATTAAAACATAGTATCTGGACAAATCACTCAACCATAAAGGAACACAGTAAGAAAGGGAAAAAGGAAAAGAGGAATTTCAAAACAACCAGGAAACAAGCAACAAAATGGCAGTGAGTCCCCTTTAAAAATGTAGACAGACTAAAAGTGGAGCGATAAAAAAGACGTTCTGTGAATATGGACACAAAAGAGCAAAACTAGCTACTTTTATGTCAGATAATATTAGGCTTTAAGTAAAAATAATTTAACTGGCCAAGAAGGCCACTACATTATGATAAAAGGGTCAATACACTAAGAAAATTTAACCATCACAAACGCCTGTGCACCCAACATTGGAGCACCCAAATATATAAAGCAAATATGAACAGACCTAAAGGGAGAGATTGACTGCAATACAATAATAGCAGGGGACTTCAATCCCTTCCTTCCAGCAACAAACAGATCATCCAGGCAGAAAATCAAAGAAGCGCTGGCGTTAATCGGACGCTAGACCGAATGTACCTTACAGACATTTACAGAACTTTCCACCCGATAGGTGCAGAATACAGAGTCCTCTCGATGAACATGGAATGTTCTCCAGGACAGACTATGTGTTAGGCCACAAAACAAGTTTGAACAAATTTTTAAAAACTGAAATTGTTATCAGGTGTCTTTCTGATCACAGGCAATAAAACTAGTAGTCAATAACAGGAGAAGTTTTGGAAACTGTTCAAATTCGTGGAAATTAACACGGTCAGGAACGACAAATGGATCAATGAAGAAATGAAAAAGGACATCCAGAAAGCTTCAGCACACTGGAGGAAAGGATTAGTAAAGAGAAGCAAGAATGGGAGACAGTCTTTTCCAGCTCTGCATCTGATAAGGAGTCAATAAATATAATATATAAGAAACAATAGCAAAACCCGCAAATGATCCTGTGAGCAAAAGACCTGAATAGAATTTCTTAAAAGAAGACATACAGGGCCAGGAGCACAGTGGCTCATGCCTGTAATCCCAGTGCTTTGAGAGGCTGATGCAGGCGGATCACTTAAGGTCAGGAGTTCGAGACCAGCCTGGCCAACATGGTAAAACCCCATCTCTACTAAAAACGCCTGTAGTCCCAGCTACTCAAGAGGCTGAGGCAGGAGAATCGCTTGAACACAGGAGGCAGAGTTTACAGTGAGCTGAGATGGCACCACTGCACTCCAGCCTGGGTGACAAAGTGAGACTCCGTCTCAAAAAAAAAGACATACAAATAGCCAACAGGTATGAAAAAATGCTCAGCATCGCTAATCATCAGAGAAATGCAAATGAAAACCGCAATGAGATATCACCTCACCCCAGTTAGAATGGCTATTATCACAAAGCAAAAAATAAAAATAATAAATAACAAATGCTGGCAGGATACTGAGAAAAGGTAACTTACGTATATTGTTTGTGAGAATGTAAATTAGTACATCCAATTTGGAAAACAATATGGTGATTTCTCAAAAGATTAAAACTGGAACTACCCTATGACTCAGTACTTCCATACTTGATGTGTATCCAAAGGAAATGGAATCAGTATGTGGAAGAGACACCTGCACACCATCGTTTATTGCAGCACTGTTCATAATAACCAAGTTATGAAATCACCCTGGATGTCCATCTAAAGATAGACATAAAGAAAACGTGGTGTATATATACAATAGAATGCTATTCAGCCACAAAACAGAATTAAATCCTGTCATTTGTGGCAATGTGGATGAACCTGAAAGGCATTATGTTAAGTGAAATATCAAGGAACAGAAAGACAAATGTCGCATCTCACTCATATATGAAATTGGAAAAGGTTAATTTCATAAAGGAGTAAAATAGGGTAAGAGAGAGGAGAAAACCAGAAAAGGTTCATCAATGGGTATGAACTTACAGTTAAACAAGAATACGTTGTGCTGTTCTGTTACATACACAGTAGAGTGACAATAGAAAATAACGTGGGCAGGCGCGGTGGCTCATGCCTGTAATCCCAGCTCTTTGGGAGGCCGAGGCAGGTGGATCATGAGGTCAGGAGTTCAAGACAAGCCTGGCCAAGATGGCGAAACCCTGTCTCTACTAAAAATACAACAATTACCCGGGCATGATGGCAGGCCCCTGTAATCCCAGCTACTCAGGAGGCTGAGGCAGGGAATTGCTTGAACTTGGCAGGCAGAGGTTGCAGTGAGCCGATATCACGCCAACGCACTCCAGCCTGGGTGACAGAGCCAGACTCCATCTCAGAAAGAAAGAAAAGAAAGAAAGAAAGAAGAAAGAAAATAACAACATATCTTCTAAGAGAACTAGAAGCAAAGATTCTGAATATTGTTAGCACAAAGAAATGATAGATATTTAAGGTGATTCCCATTTGATCATTAGACTATGTATATATGCATTGAAACGTCACACTGTACCACATAAATATGTAAAATTATGTCAAATATAAATAAAAAAATTAAAGTATGAAAAATGAAAACAATGACAAGAACAAAAACTTAACCACTACCGCCACAACCACCGCCACCACCACCACCACCAACCACGGCAGTAACAGCAGAACCCTTAGCAGTCTGGTGCCTCCACTACCGCCACAACCACTGCCACCACCACCACCAACCACGGCAGTAACAGCAGAACCCTTAGCAGTCTGGTGCCTCCACTACCGCCACAACCACCACCACCACCACCACCACCAACCACGGCAGTAACAGCAGAACCCTTAGCAGCCTGGTGCCTCCACTACCGCCACAACCACCACCACCACCACCACCAACCACGGCAGTAACAGCAGAACCCTTAGCAGCCTGGTGCCTCCACTACCGCCACAACCACCACCACCACCACCACCACCAACCACGGCAGTAACAGCAGAACCCTTAGCAGCCTGGTGCCTTGGGTGGACATGCCCTACCTCCGTAGTGAGATGGAATCAGCTCTGTCTTACACTCAGGCATTTAAGTATTTACACGAGTAACTTTGGCTGTTAAATACAGAGGAATGAGTGGAAGACTTGGCTGAATGAATGAAAAATTAGCAAAACTATTAAGTATTATGTAAGGACAAACCAGCAAAACTTCAGGCCCTCTTAATAAGCATTTATAGAGCTGTCCACTCTAAATACACAGAATATACACTCTTATCAGTACCACATCGCACCTACTCACAGGTTTAAGTGAAATATTGGTTGGCCATTATTAAGCACAATTATCGGCATAAAAGAGGTTTTCAATACCCATTTTTAGAATAAAGCAACGCTCCTGTTCTCTCTCCCTCTCCCTCTTCCTCTTTCTTCCTCTACTTCATTCCTTTTTCTTTCTTTAAAATAATAATAAAAAAAAACCTTCAGGCCGTCTTGCTCTAACCTAACAGAAATGTCTTTCCTGTACATCCCTGTGCTGCTCCTAACGGCTGGCACCCTGGGGAGCCACATGCATTGCCGCCAAGGACCACAAGGGGGCACCATGATGCTCCCTCTGGAACTCTCCTGCAGAGAAGCCAGGCACCTGGGAGGCCAGGGGAGACTGGTGGTTCCTGACTTTTGGCCACACCATGTCCAAACTTGGCCTAAGGCTCATGCTGCCAGGGTTGGCTGTGGAGACTCAGCCCTACAGATGGAGCCCGTCTCTGAAATCTCACTGACCGCATCCCGGACACGCACAGTCTCTGATTCCCGAGTCTCTTTTCAAGATCGGCCTTAACAAGGGTAAAGCAGGTATGGGTTTTGATTATGGGAATTAAACAAAATCGAGGCGATCTCAGAAAGGTAGGAGAAGCTGCTTAAGTCACTGGATAGGAAACCCCTGTACTGTGAGCTCAGGCTGCCATAACTGAAATACCATCAACAGGGTGCTTTAAATGTTGCTTCTTCGCCAGGCGCCAGGCTGGAGTGCAATGGTGTGATCTCGGCTCACTGCAACCTGCCCCTCCCGGGTTCAAGCTATTCCTCTGCCTCAACCTCCCAAGTAGCTGGGACTACAGGCACATGCCACCACGCCCAGCTAATTTTTGTATGTTTAGTAGAGAAGGGGTTTCACCATATTGGCCAGGATGGTCTCAATCTCTTGACCTCGTGATCTGCCCACCTCGGCCTCCCAAGACAAAAATATTTTCTCACAATTCTGGAGTCAAGAAGTACAAGATCCAGATTGGATTCTAGTGAGAGCTCTCTTCCTGGCTTGCAGATGACCATTAACTCTGTCCCTACATGTCCTTCTCTCCCTGTGTGTTATTTGGGGGAGCAGGAGAGAGGGTGAACACACTCCCTAGTCCTCCTATTAGAAGGACACTAATCTTATTAGATCAGTCCCCCTGCTTATGACCTCTTCTAGCCTTTGTCACTTCGCTAAAGGCCTCATCTCTGTGTAAGTTACACTGGGAGTTAGAGCATCAACACGTACATTTTGGGAGGACGTAAACCTTCCCTTCTCCCACCCCTCAGGCTGGGAGCCTCACAGGCACTGGGTCCTCAGGTTTTCCCAGCCAGAGTTTCTCCTCTGGCTGATTCAGATGCCTCTGTACTGGCGTGTGCAGAGTTTTTCTATTTTTCCTTTCCTTCGATTTTTTTTGTTTCTCCTCTTCTTTCTTTGGTAATTATGTCTATGTAATATTGAGACATTTTGTCAAATGACACTGCCTCATAATTTCTGCATTAATAAACACAAGTCTTAACTGATTGGTTCTCAAAGGGAAAACTACGCTGATCGCAGTCTCTCTGAGCAGACGGGGCTGCTGATCTTATGTAGAATTCGTGGGCAGGGTGGGGTTCAGTGACTGGTAAAGGGCAGGGACATAGGAGAGATGGTGTCAGCCATTGGAGTAGCTGTTCCTGATTGGCCCGGCTTTGGCAATATACCCACATCTTACCACTAGAAAAACAGAAAGCAAACGTGTGTTCCTAAAAGCCTCAGAATGGTGAAATGACTCAGACATGGGAACTTCATGTTCCCATGCGTAAGGCCTTGCGTAAATGTGTTCACGGAGGTGAGTGGCTGTGGTAGGCAGCATAAGCTGCCCAAAAGGTGTCCGTTTTTAATCCCTGGAACCTGTGACTATGTTACTTTACACGACAAAAGAGGCTTTGAAGGAGTTAAGAATACTGAGATGGGGAAACTATTCTAGAGGACCCAGTGTCATCACAAGGGTGTGTGTGCGTGATAGGGGGAAGGCAGGGAGTCTGTCAGGATGACGTAATGTGAGAATACTGTGAGTGTCCATGGCTGCCACTGGAGGTGAGAGGGGTCCTAGCTGAGGAATGGGGACAAACTCTGCATGTTGGAAAGGCAAGGAAAGTCTTCCTACAGCCTCCAGAAAGGAACACAAACCCGTCAGCGACACCTTCACTTTAGTGCAGTGAGACTCATATTGGCCTTCTCATTGTCAGAACCCCAGGAGCATCTGAATCAGCCTCTGGCCAACAGCAGGTGGAGCCTCAGACATCACCCTCTGCCAGCTTCTCCACTGAAGGTGCTGTGGACTTGAAGCCATCAGGAGATTTGGAGTGGTTGTGGTTTACACAGCAGGGCCTGAGTCTTGGTGAGGAAGTGTTGGAGCAGGGAGCTGCCCACTCAGCTGGGTCAGCCTCTGACCCTTCTTAGCCAGGCCTGATTCCAGGCTGCTTGGGCAGCTGTTCTGGTCAATAGGCACTGAGACCCTGGCAGCTTGTCGGCTTCATTCCCTGAGCTGTCCAAGCACCAGCCCCACAGGCCACTTTTTCACTTAATGAATCTTAACTGCCCAGCAGCCTGGTTTGGTCGGTTGAAGATGAATCTGATTCTAAGTCCAACTGTCACAGGGGCAGTTGGCTGGGAACGTCCTGCATTCCAAGTTGGTTGGGGGTCAAGGAGGCTACTGGTCATTCAGGGAGGTCACCCAACCACAAGGAAGTCTCCCCACAAGGCAGATACAGGGTCAAGTGTGGGCAAGACAGACACAAATTTGGGCCCCCAAGCCTTCAGCAGGGCTTCCTTGGGGGAAGAGATCCAAAATTTAACCTGGGAATACATTATTAATACTTTTGCCAGGAAGATGTCAACACCCCTTGCTCTTATAAATGCATTTCCCAGTGCCTTCATAAAGGAATATGAAAAGAAAAAGATAACAGATTGAAATAAAGCATGTACCTGGGGGTAAATCCTTGGGGAATAAAGTGTACCCTCAGGTACTGGTGTGGGAGGCCCTGGTGCTCTATCTTTCTCTGGCTCTGTCCCTCATTCTGGTTTTCTCCAGGTCCCTCCCTCTGGCAGAAGAACCTCTGATAAAGACAGGTTGCTCTGTCTTTTATCTGTCTTGGGCAGGACCCAGGGGAATTGCAAAGGGAAAGAGAAAGGCATTGCAGTCAGAGCCCAGAAGGTGGGTCTAGACCAGGCTAAGAGATGGGCAGGTGCCCCATTGCCTGGTGGATGGGCAGGCCATATTCCCCTCTCCGCCACCCCCTCCCAGCCCTAATGTGTGCCCAGAGTTTTGAGCAGCACCTTCTTGCTGAGGGGAGGTTTTGAGACTCCAGTTGTGAAGGAAGCATTTCCACACAGCAGAAACGAAGGCTTAGATGTGACTTGAGTACCCTACTGTGTGCTGGCTCTGTGGCATGTGCCCCCTTTTCCAACCTCCCAGTTTCCAGAAGGTGGGGAGTAGGTCAGAGGGACTGCTCCCCAGGGGGTGGGAGTCCCTCAGAGGGACTGTGATGTCTGGGACATGAAGGAGGGGAGGGGACGTCTACATATAGGCTCAGTGCCCACAGGGACCTCTCAAGGGGTTTGTGTGGACCAAGAAAATGCAAAACCCATACACACAGCTTTCTGATTACAGAAGTCCATCCAAGCATATTTCGGAGAAATGCGTGTACATGGTATGCTTGAAATGATCTTCCTAAATACATTCCTTTAAGGGGAGTCTGTTCCAGTTGGTGAAGTTGTGCTCTCTGCAGAGGCTTCAAACTCCTCTGGCTGCAACCTGAAGGGAGATAGAGAGGAGGATGCATGGGTGCTAGGGGTGCAGCACCCCTACCTGAAGGCAGATAGAGAGGAGGATGTATGGGTGCTGGGGGTGCAGCACCCCTACCTGAAGGCAGATAGAGAGGAGGATGCATGGGTGCTGGGGGTGCAGCACCCCTACCTGAAGGCAGATAGAGAGGAGGATGCATGGGTGCTGGGGGTGCAGCACCCCTACCTGAAGGCAGATAGAGAGGAGGATGCATGGGTGTTGGGGGTGCAGCAGCACCCCTACCTGAAGGCAGATAGAGAGGAGGATGCATGGGTATTGGGGGTGCAGCAGCACCCCTACCTGAAGGCAGATAGAGAGGAGGATGCATGGGTGCTGGGGGTACAGCAGCACCCCTACCTGAACGCAGATAGAGAGGAGGATGTATGGGTGTTGGGGGTGCAACAGCACCCCTACCTGCATGGAAGCTTGTCTTACCTCTGCGCAAGGTGGACTCCTAGTGATTGTTTTTGGAAGGTGAAGGTTTCTGTTGCCATCAGAAACAGATGGAAAAAGAATAAGAGCATCAGTGTAGCTGGGTGCAGTGGCTCGCACTTGTAATCCCAGCGCTTTGGAAGGCTGAGTTGAGCAGATCACAAGGTCAGGAGTTCGAGACCAGCCTGGCCAACATGATGAAACCCTGTCTCTACTAAACATACAAAAAATTAGCTGGGTGTGGTGGCACATGCCTGTAATTCTAGTTACTCGGGAGGCTGAAGCAGTAGAATTGCTGGAACCCAGGAGGCAAAGGTTGCAGTGAGCAGAGATCACACCATTGCACTCCAGCTCAGGTAACAGGGCAAGACTCCATCTTAAAGAAAAAATAAATAAATAGGTGGAAAATAAACAGTTCCATTTACCAGGAACATACTCTGTAGAAGAAAATGCCATAATGACTCTGGACCAGGGAGGCATTCTCAAACCCAGATCTAAGATGGCAGTTAAGGTGCAGTGGGGGAGGGAAAGGCTGCAAAGTTGCCTCAGCCAGGCAACTCTGAGATATGCCCCTTCCTTACTGTGTGACCTTGGGTGATTTACTTAATGTCTCCAGGCCTCTAATCTTCCTCACCTATAAATGGATATAATAATATCCAGCTTATAGGGTTATGGGGAAGATAAAAATGTGAAACTTGCCAGGTGCGGTGGCTCAAGCCTGTAATCCCAGCACTCTGGGAGGCCAAGGTGGGTGGATCATGAGGTCAAGAGATCGAGACCATCCTGGTCAACATGGTGAAACCCTGTCTCTACTAAAAATACAAAAAATTATCTGGGCATGGTGGAGTGTGCCTGTAATCCCAGCTACTCAGGAGGCTGAGGTAGGAGAATTGCCTGAACCCAGGAGGCGGAGGTTGCAGTGAGCCGAGATCGCGCCATTGCACTCCAGCCTGGGTAACAAGAGCAAAACTCTGTCTCAAAACAACAACAACAACAAAAAAAACCGTGAAACTTATGTAAAGAACTTAGCACAGTACTTGGAATGTTAATAGAAGGGAAGAAATGATCGTTATCATCATTAGTCATACTACATTTTATTTATTTATTTATTTATTGAGAGGGAGTCTTGCTCTGTCACCCAGGCTGTAGCATAGTTGCTCAATCTCTGCTCACTGCAACCTCCACATCTGGGTTGCAAGCAATTCTCCTTCCTCAGCCTCCCAAGTAGCTGGCACTGTAGACAGGAATTTTGTATTTTTAATAGAGACAGGGTTTCATCATGTTGGCCAGGCTGGTCTCAAACTCCTGACCTCAAGTGATCCTTCCACCTTGGCCTCCTAAGGTGGTGGGATTACAGGTGTGAGCCACTTGCCCTGCCCATTTATTTTTAAAACAATTTCAGGCCAGGTGTGGCAGCTCATACTTGTAATCCCAGCACTGTGGGAGGCCTAGGTGGGCAGATCACTTGAAGTCAGGAGTTCGAGACCAGCCTGAACAACATGGTCAAACTCTGTCTCTATAAAAAGAGAAACAAAAAAGATCTGGTGGTGTGCACCTGTGATTCCAGCTACTAGTGGGGCTGAGGTGGCAGGGTCACTTGAGCCATGATTGCAACACTGCACCCCAGCCTGGGTGACAGAGTGAGACCCTGTCTCAAAACACACACACACACACACCAAAATTTTTCCACCTGTGTAATTTTCTTTGAAGAAAGTTATATATGGCTGGGCATGGTGGCTCACGCCTATAATCCCAGCACTTTGGGAGGCCGAGGCAGGTGGATCACCTAAGGTCAGGAGATCGAGATCAACATGGCCAACATGGTGAAACTCCATCTCTACTAAAAAAAGAAAAAGAAAGAAAAGAAAAAAAATAAAAAAGAAAAAAAAATTAGCCAGGCCTGCTGGTGCACTCCTGTAGTCCCAGCTACCAGGGAGGCTGAGGCAGAAGAACAGATGGAGCCTGAGAGGTGGGCATTGCAGTGAGCTGACATCTTGCCACTGTACTCCAGCCTGGGTGACAGAGTGAGACTCCATCTTAAAAAAATAAACAAATTGGCCAGGTGTGGTGGCTCACGCCTGTAATCCCAACACTTTGGGAGCCAAGGCAGCCAGGTCACCTGAGGTTGAGCATTCAAGACCAGCATGACAAACATGGAGAAAACCCGTCTCTACTAAAAATTAAAAAATAAGCCAGGCCTGGTGACATGTGCCTGTAATCCCAGCTACTGGGGAGGCTGAGGGCAGGAGAATGGCTTGAACCTGGGAAGGAGAGGTTGCAGTGAGCCTAGATCATGCCACTGCACTCCAGCCTGGGCAACGAGTGAAACTCCATCTCAAAATAAAATGAAATAAAATAAAATGAAGGGTTTTTGTGTGTGTGTGTGTGCGTGTATATATATGTGTGTGTGTGTGTGTGTGTGTGTGTGAGATCGTTAGCATATGATTACATAGAACATACGTCTAGAATATATATATGGGATCTTTTGATATTTTGTTTGATAGATATAAAATCCTCAGCATATGATTATACATGGAATGTATGTATGGAATCTTATGATTGACTTTTTTCATTCAGCATAATACCCTTGAGGTTCATCTGAATTGTGGTCATTGCCCAATGAATGTTGGGATTGGTTGCAGTTTTTGGCTATTGTGAACAAAGCTGCTATGCACACAGGTTTTTAGTTTGTTTGTTTGTTTGTTTGAGATTAAGGCATCATCCACGCCTGGGGCATCTTCCATGCCTGGGACATCATCCACTGCTGTGCCATCCACAGATGGGCATCATCCATGCCTGGGGCATCCACGCCTGGGGCATCATCCATTGCTGTGGCATCATTCACAGATGGGCATCATCCACTACTGGGGCATCATCCACACCTGGGGCATCATCCACACCTGGGACATCCACTGATGGGGCATCTTCCATGCCTGGGGCATCATCCACTGCTGCGGTATCATCCACACCTGGGATGTCCACGCCTGGGGCATCATCCACTGCTGGAGCATCATCCACACCTGGGGCATCATCCACTGCTGCAGCATCATCCATGCCTGGAGCATCATCCACTGCTGTGGCATCATCCACAGCTAAGGCATCATCCACGCCTGCGGCATCTTCCACGCCTGGGGCATCATCCACTGCTGCGCCATCATCCACAGATGGGCATCATCCATGCCTGGGGCATCATCCACTGCTGCGCCATCATCCACAGATGGGCATCATCTGCACCTGGGGCATCATCTGCGCCTGGGGCATCATCCACGCCTGGGGTATCTTCCATGCATGGGGCATCATCCACACCTGGGGCATCCACTGATGGGGCATCTTCCATGCCTGGGGCATCGTCCACTGCGGGGCATCACGCCTGGGGCATCATCCATGCCTGGGGTATCATCCACACCTGGGGCATCATTCACTGCTGCAGCAGTCACAGATGGGCATCATTCATGCCTGGGGTATCATCCACAGATGGGCATCATCCACGCCTGGGGCATCATCCACTGCTGGGGCTTCATGCACGCCTCTGGTAGCTCTGCAGGAAGGTTGCCCACCTCACCATTGCTTTCTCCAGGTTCCAGAGGCTTCCATTTAAAGGAGCAACTCTCCCCACTTTGCCTCACCCGACACCAGCTCTCCTGTACCTACTGGCCTTCTAAATGCTTTCTTCCACCTTCACCTCATTGGATTCACAACTCTGGAAAATAGTCAAAAATGATAAAAAGGTGGGAGTGGGGGTGATCTGGAAATCCCTGCTATAATATTTTTAAAGGAATCTATTGGAAACTATGTTTTAAATAAAGCCATCCCTTACTTAGCACTAGAATATCAAGCGTTCATGTTTTTAACAGAACTTTGAGATATAATTCAAATGTTTTTCATATGAACATATATGTGTGTATGTGTATATATACAAGTATATACATATGTGTCTATGTATATATACACAGTTGTATATACATGCACATATTCATGTGTATACAGTTATGTATATAGTATATATATATACAAACACACACACATATGCCTATATGTATAGTTGTTTTAGGACACAAAAATACTGATCTTGAGAAAAAAGCATTGGTCTTCATAAACATTGAAACTATCTGGCATAGCAAAAGTCCCCTTTAAGAATATGACTTACAAAGCACAGAATGACAGAAAATGCTCACAGCGTGTACACGTGAAGAATGTGTCCTGTTGGCCCCAGCTGTCAACGTTGCCAGTGTGGCTGCTGTCCTCAGTGCAGACAGCTGTGGCATTGAACCTTCAGATGCTGAGGGTGGCTGAGTTGGCCCTGCCTGGGCCACAGACCCTAAATTGGACAGAGGGGAGGGACTGTGGGTTAGAATCAGCATAGTGAGGAGGGTGGGTGTGTGGAGCAGAGCCGACTGTGGATCCCTGTCCCCAGGTGAGGTGCCCCCTCCTCTGTGCAGTGAGTGAGGAGGGTAAAGACAGGAGCCCTGGAGATGGTTCAGATGCCACTCCACTTCCTGACACTGCTGTGGAGCCTCATCTTTCCGAAGCCACCTTACATCTCCCAAAATGGGAGCAGAGCCACTGCATTTAAGAGCTGCGACCTGCCTCTTCCCGGGCCCCTCTGCCCTGAGTTCTCACAGCTGACCCGGTGGGGTGAAGGTGTGTCCTAGTAGGTCAGTGTTGCCACCCAAATCTACCCAGTGGGCTCCCTGATGACCAAACTCCCATGGAGGCTCTGAGTCATTTTCCAGCTGGGAGAGGCCATCTCAGGAGTGTCCCTCACTGTCCCACACTGCCCTTAGACCCCAAAGCCTTCCTGCCTCTGACACACAGGGGAATCTCAGGTGGAGAGCCTTGGCTGTCCCGATCCTCCCTTCTGAAGCTGCTCACGATGTCAGAGAGGGGCCAGGGCAGCCGGGAATCTTAAATATAGGGGATGTGTGTTGAAGGGAGGTCACTTGTTCCTGCCAGCTGTGCCAGCAGAGCATGTGTGGCACTATCTGTCGGTTTTTCCTGGGACCCAGAAGCACAGAGTTTACTCACACTATTAACACTCTCATCATCAGCCACCTAAAGGCCTCTCTTTCATATTCTTTTATAACCATTTCAAATCATGTTTTCCTCCATCTCTGAGTCACCAACTCAAGTGTAAATCATGTGGTTCCACTTCGACTTCCAAATCATCTCTACACAAATGTAAAGAATTCATACCGTGTTTCTATTTCTTAAGCAAATAAGTTTTCCTCTTTAGACCTCATCTGGTTTATTTTTTCTGAGATTTAAACTCAGACTTAAACATTTAATTTCATCCATATGTGCATATGAACCATTTCCATTACTTCCAACAGGTCAGCATTGTGTAAGCTACACTTTAGTTATAAACCCTTGTGCTGAGCAGCCAGGTTGCTGCCAATAACAACGTGACCAGTGAGGACTTCCTTCTGTGCATTTCCCTCCATCTGTGAACCACAGTGGACTAGCCGCATGGAGGGTGCACTCTTAATGTTACTATGTGCTGAGGGATATCCTGCCGGATGGCTGACCTTATAAATATCCCAGTTGTAAGAGCTTCTGAAGCTCCACAGCCTGACTGAAAATTTGTTTTATTTTTGTTTTTTAAATTGCAACATTAGTTGTCTGCTCAACACTCACTGGTTTCGTGCCTCACTCAGAAGTAACTGCACAATTCTAGGGCATCCACAGGAACCTATAGGTTTTGCCTGCCCCTGACCCTGGCTGGCTGATCTCCAAGCCCTCTCCCTGGCTTCCTGCTGAGGGGGCTCTGCCAGCTCCTGTCACTCCCATTTTGCTCCCCCCAAGTCCTTTTGCTTTGTACTCTGCTGTTCCAGGCAGCTCTTCCCACACAGACGTGCTGGGCTCCACAGGGGTTTCTTTCACCTCAGGTGGATCAGAACATGTGTTCATGTGACTTATTCATCCACATTTTGCCTTCTCTAAATTGCTTTGTTGTGATATTTGTCCGTTTTTAGTGGCATTTCCATTTTATCTGTCTTTTCTATTTTTTTCTGAAATCTAGATTGTCCTTGCTAATATCTTTCCATTGTTCCATATTTCTCTGCAATTTTGCCTGTTGGATCCTTCTTCTAAAAAGCACCTTAAATAGCCATTCAGGAGCTCATAAGTTTATGTGCCTTATCAGAATCCTAGAAAATCAGCAAGTTCAGCACATGAAAATGCACTCCATCCCAAGTCATTAGCAGAGTACACATTGAAACTAGTTTCTCACTCTTACACCCACCAGAATAGGCACGTTATCAGAGACAAAAATGCAAAGGGTGGTGAGGATGTGGAGGAGCTTGAACTGTCATGTTACTCTGGGAACATACTTAGTTTCAACCATTTTGATAAATGGCTTTCCAGTGTGTACCACAGTCAGCACCTGTCACCCTACAGTCCCACTCCTGCCACCTATGTTCAAGAGACATGAGCCAAGGATGTTGTCCACCTGGTGAACTTTACAGAAGCCTTGTTTCAAGCAACCAACCTGAGAAACAGCAGAGTGAATGTAAAAAACACGGAGGTGTGAACTAGTTGTGCCAACTTTCTACACTGTTATATACTGACTCAGCAGTACAAAATGACAGATGTTTCATCATGTGGAACATGGGTGAAATTCACATACTCACATATAATTTTCAATCAGAAACAAAAGAGTAAATGCTGCAGGTTTGCATTTTTATGATGTTTAAAAATAAATTTAAAATACATTGATCATGATCAGAGTAGGTATCTCCTGGGGTTACTGCCTGGAAATCAGCTGAAGAGGGACTGCCAGGAGATTTACATCTGGGTGCTGGTAACACAGTGTTTGTAAGAAGGCAGCAGTCTGTGCATGTCATATATGTGCACTGTGCCACAGGTAAAACAACCATCACCTAAAAACGAATGCAAATCATCTTTCCATCGTGCAAACGTCCATCCTTATTGTCTCCCTGGGAGTCTATCTATATTTTAAATAGAAGTAACTTCAATTTTATATGTACAAGAACACGCTCACACTGCTCTCTTTTAACTGGGAAAATCATGATAGCAAATTCTGTAAAAGACATGACAAGAAAGGTGAATTAAAAGTCAAACTCTTTCAAATACTGTTGCCAAAATCCAACACAATATGTTAGCAATCTTGATTCCGAGGTGTTTTTTAAATTTTCCTTTGAGTTTGGGATACATGTGCAGAATGTGCAGGTTAGTTACACAGGTAGACATGGGCCATGGTGGTTTGCTGCACCCATCAACCTGTCATCTAGATTTTAAGCCCAACATGCATTAACTATTTGTCCTAATGCTCTCCCTCCCCTTGCCCCCTACCCCTGACAGGCCCCAGTGAGTGATGTTCCCCTCCCTTTGCCCATGTGTTCTTACTGTTCAACTCCCAGTTATGAGTGAGAACATGTGGTGTTTGGTTTTCTGCTCCTGTGTTAGTTTGCTGAGGATGATGGCTGCCAGCTTTATCTATGTCCCTGCAAAGGACAAGAACTCACTTTTTTTATGGATGCACAGTATTCCATGGTGTGTGTGTGCCACATTTTGGTTTTGTAAAGGAAAGACAGGGGTTTTGATATGGATATAAATGTAGGATGAGGACAGGATCCCTACTGTTTAGGGTGCTGCTGGGGAGAGTAGTGAGAAGAGACAGAGCCCTCAGGTTAGAGGAATGAACATTTGGTTAGAAATAGGACCTGAGTGGTCCTCAGGGATAGTCCTGGGGTGGAGTCTCCAGGCTGTAGCTGTGGAGGGTTCCCTCTAAGAGGAGAAGGGACTCTGTGCATTGTCCCTGCAGGGCTCGGGATGAAATAGGAGTCTGAAGATGCTGACCTTTGGTTTGGAAGAAATGAACAGGAAGAAAGGTCCACTCTGTGCTGGTGCAGTCACTGCCTATCCTCAGCCAGGCCTTAGTCCAGCTGCACAGACAGTGGCTCAGATCAATAGTAAGTCAGGCAGGAAGCTTTATAAACTGAGTTCATCAAGCCACTGACACTCCATCCCAGGCGCCCCTTATCAGATAAGGGCATTAGCTGCTCACCCAGGGTTGGTCAAGTGGAGGGAAGTGAAGCGGTTATGTGACAGTTTAGAATGTTGCTTTCTAAAACAATTGGGTGTTACAAAGCCTACTACAGTTAGGGGTCAGTTGGCTGCAGGGGTCCGTTGTAGCCAACTGATCATTGGAAACGTGTAGCCCATGGCAGCTGACTGTGATGCTTCTATAAAAGGATTTCCCTGTTTTGAATCACCCTCGTCTTTCCAAGGGGCTTCATTTGAGATAAACCACATCCTGTTTGGAGTCTGGGATGGAAAGGAAGAGACAGAGGCCGTGTCTTGTGTCCAAGCTGTTATCTGGGCTCAGGCATATATTCTAGGACATCAGCCCTTTCACAGAAACCTTGGGTCAGGACGTCTTGAGAGTCAGGGGAGTTCATGTTTTGGGGGGTCTAGAGCATGAGCTGGAGGTCTGGAGTGTGAAGACATCTCTGGCCCCGAGGCCTCAGGTATGCTTCTGCCCCAGGTGCATCACACAGTAGTGTGGTGACTGGAAAGACATGCCTTTAAGAGAATTTCTTCCAACTATGAAGTGCAGGCCACAGCTCCTGCTCTGCCCACCCTCAGGGCTGATGTGGACATCACAGGAGATGATCACATGTACTGTCCGTGCACTGTAAAGCCTCCCACACACACGAATGAAGAAAAGCCAACCTCCACCCTCCTCTGCCCTGGAGCATCCATGTCCCCTCTCTGGTCATGCACTGTCAAGTGTGTAGCTTGTTCTCCCAGGCATTTAATGATGGAGGAATCATGGAGCATTGAAGAATTAGCCACTTTTTCTAAAGCTTTAACTCTGTTCAATGATCTTTGGCCTCATCGTGCTAACCAGTCAGCCCCATTAAAGTGTTTAGATGGCAGTGCAGAGAACTGGAGGCTGAGGGGTTGCAGGATGTTCCCTGGTTCTCGTGGCTCTAAGTGGGATTGAGCCCAGGCCCTCAGGCCCCAGCCCCCATGCTCAGTCACTCTGCTCAACTGCCTTTCTGGACCGTCTCATCATAAAGGCATTTTCCACACAACCTTTCCCTTAGGTGTTTCAAGTGCACGTGAGAACCCAAGATCTTCTGAAAGCCCAGCGTTGGCTCAGAGGCTGTCGGGGAGTCAGCACAGTGGGATCCACCATTTAAGCTCTGCATCAATTATGGTACGTTTCCTCTGGTCTTCTGTCAAATTGTCAGTAGCTCTTTACTGTGAGTGCATTTCCCAGGTTCTTAGCTAATAAATTTGAGGAGAAAAGCATTTTCCTCCTTCAAGAATCTATACAGCCTAGACCAGCAGCAAGTCAAGAAAGGTCCCCCGACCAAGCACAGGTGCACTTGCAGACGGTAAGCTGATGGCACTGTGGATACCCAGCCCTTACATTGATTCAAGAATAATGATTGCATTTGTTCCAAAGTTGCATATTTAAAATGAATAACCATATTGTTATTCATGTAAGAAAATTTTAATTTAGTATTCAATCAGTAATGTTTCAAACACATAAAGATACATCCACAGCTCAGCTTTGGTTCACATTTCGTAGTGAAACACATCTGAAGTTCCTGTTTAGACAAAAACTGATTGTTAAACATTTGCTGCAATAGATCTGCCCCTAAGATAGTGTTGCCAAATGACTCTCTAATTAATAGACACTATAATTTGGATAAGTTTTACATTAGCAAAAAAATAGAGCAGATACTGAAATTAGCACATGCCCCTTTCCTCCATTTTCCCTGTAATTGACATGTCAGTATGGTGCATTTGTTATGGTTAATAAACCAATATTTACATATTATTAACTAAATGTCTTAGCATTATGGATTACTCTTTCTATTGTGAATTTTCAAGAAAATTTGCAATGTCTTGCTCCATTTTGCATGCACTCATCATTCTGTTGCTGACAATCCCCTGTGCTTCAACTGTTAGTCCTTCTGTCTTTTTCTCAGAAACAGCTAATTTTTTGTTTTAGACCAATCTCACTCTGTTACCTGGACTGGAGTGCCGTGGCATGCTCTCGGCTCACTGTAACCTCCACCTCCCAGGTTCAAGTGATTCTCGTGCCTCAGCATCTCGAGTGGCTGGGATAACAGTTGCCCTTGACCACCCCTGGCTAAGTTTTGCATTTTTAGTAGAGACAGGATTTCCCCATGTTAGCCAGGCTGGTCTCTAACTCCTGACCTTGAGTGATGTGCCCACCTCAGCCTCCCAAAGTGCTGGGATTACAGGAATGAGACACCACACCTGGCTGGAAACAGCTGATTTTTAAAAATTGTCTCTAGAGTTTGCCTTTTTACAAAATGACACTTAGTTTGAATCACAGATTATGTAGCTTCTTCAACAGACAATCCCAGCCTCCAGAACGGTGAGAAAGAAAAAACTGTGTTTATACCACCCAGCTCATGGTATTTGGGTTACCTTTTCTTTTCTGGGGACAGGGTCTCATTGTGCTGCCTAGGCTGGAGTGCAGTAGTGCGATCTGAGTTCATTGCAGCCTTGATCTTCTGGGCTCAAGTTATCCTCCCATCTCAGCTGGGACCACAGGGAAACCCCACCATGCGGGGCTAATTTTCTTTATGCTTTTGTAGAGGTGAGGGTCTCACTATGTTTCCTAGGCAGGTTTTGATCTCCTAGCCTCAAGCAATGTTGGGATTCACTCAGGGTGGCTGGCAAAATATTAAGGGAAATATCAGGGAAAGTTATAAGATATAGTCTCAAATGTTTTGGAAGACAAAAAGGTTTTTATAACTTGTAATAATGGAACAGGCTGAAGGCAGCTGGTTCTTACCTTAGAGTATTAGGTCATGGGTAAAAATTAGGGATAATAGAAGCTTCCCCAGTTAAGTCTGTTTACCTCACATTCCTTTGTCTTTACTCTAACTCCCTTGTTTACTCATGTGGTCTTAAAACTAACCTTTGAGCCAATGGCCCTATTGGGGGAGGTCAAAGGGAGATTACTTCTTAATGGTGTTTGCTTTGGGCCCTGGAACCAAATCTTTAACTGTGTTAATTATTCACAAGCATGTTGAATTAGAGCTTCTATCATTAAATGTAAACTGAATAAATGTGAGGAGGGACAGCTATTGAAGTGTTGGGTATCTGCAATGGCCCTCTGAGAGCAGCTGACTTATTCACTGTACTTTGTGTGTGGAGGGTATTTATTCATCTGTCACAGTCAGGGTTTGCAGGACAGGCCCCCCACAGGTGGTGATCAACCTCTCAAAGCAATCCACCTTCCCTGGCCTCCCAAGAGGTAAGAGGCAGGAGCCTCAGCACCCAGCCAGCCTTGTTCTAGCAGCCTGCACTGACCCTAGCTGACTCTTCCAGAAGACACTGGTTGGAGAGGGCAGTCAGGAGGGGCAGCATCAGGCTTTAAGCTGTGTGAAAGAGGAAGTTTTGCTCAGCAGCAAATTCTCTCCAGATTTAGAGTTTTGTGATTGGCGGCCACCGTGAACTAGAGAGACACATCCTCCAGGGAAAGCCTGCACCTTCCCCAAGGTGTCTGTGCTGGCTTCTGGGGCCTTTGACCACTGCTTTCCATCTGGGATTCTGTGTTCACAGCGGAAGCAAAAGACCTGAGAAACACCATGCAGCGTGACTTGGTCCTCATGGTCCCTTCTCTCCTGTAATTGTAGGTGGCCTCAGAAAGACAGCCTGTGGTCTGGAATCACTGACTCACTGATAAAAAATCCAGATGAAAAGCAAGGCAGGATTTTTCTGCTGGCTTCAATCTGATTCCAGCTTCCCACTGGGCACAAGACAGGGGTGGTATAAGAAGTGATTTTTGCAGGCAAAGAACCCTGGCCTCATTGTACAGTCCCTGGAGCAACCATATCCCTCTAGGTTTGTGTGCATGAGACTCTGGAGGGGTCTTCATGGGTGTCATGCGGTGTGACTGAATGTGTGTGGGAGTGTGTCTCCTCAGGAGAGCTGTCCCACCTACACAGCACAGGTGCTACATCAATGTTCTCTAGGGGATCCCCACTGCCACTGAGTGCTTCCCACATGTTGACATGTTCATGGGTCATCACAGCCTTGCCCAGGGGCTCACTTTCCAGTCTCATGCTTCAGAAAATGAGGCATAGAGAATGATCCACACTCCTGAGCTTCTCTGTGAAAGAGATGCAGGGTGAATGAGGGTTGGGGCCCCATGTGGAAGATCAGGACCACTGGGTGGCATTCCTCACTCAGTAGCCAACTCATGGGTCACAGGGCAGGAGAGATCCAGCCCTGTGCATATGCCTGGAAGTACCTGGGTGTGTGGAGTTCCAAAACACCATCCGTGGTTAAAAGGCAGCCCCTGTGCTGACATAGCCCAGGACATCTTTGCACATATCATAGATTTCACCCAGCTATTAGCCTAAAAAGTCCAAGTCATGGAAACAGAGTAGAAGGGTGGTGTCCAAGAGTGAAGAAAATGGAGAGCTGGTGAAAGGACACAAACTTTCAGTTATGTAATGAGTACATTCTAGAGACCTGGCACACAGCATGGCAACCATAGTTCACAGTGATGAACTGCACACTCGGAATCTGGTGAGAAAGCGAACCTGGAATATTCTCACCACACACGCAAATGGCAACAATGTGAAGGGATGGGAATGTTTATGAGCCTGATGCTGGTCATCATTTCACATTGTTTGGGTATATCAAAACTTCACATTTTATACCTTATACATACGTATTTTAAAATTGTTCAAATATGTCTCAGTAACGCCAGGAAAATATCCTCAGAAATATTCAAATTTTGTGAGCTACACATCCTAGAATTGATTAATTAGAACCAGCAGGACCCCTGCTGATCAATGAGCCCCATTAGCCTGACTAAGGCACCCCAGGACAGCAGAGTTAGAGCACCAGCACCAGGCCCACACCTGCCCCTGTAAGGAGCCACCCTTCCAGCCTATGTGAGCAGGTCTACGGAGATGTCAAAAAGATACTGGCAATTTAGCAGCAGTTAAACATGGCAGGAGAGGTCAGGGGACTTTCTTTTGCATTACAGTGTAGAGTTGGGCACATGGAGAGACTGAGCATTTCCTGTTGAATTAGGGGGTCTCTAGCTCCACAGCTGAGGATGCTGAGCCTCATCCCAGTCCTGCTTCTCTTTTCCAAGCCTCTTCCACTGAGGAGGATGACACAGCAGCAACTGAGTTCATGCGGTAAGCCCACCATGCCCACGCAGGGCTGTGAACATCTCAAGCCAGTGCCCCGAGTCATCCACAGGCAACACCACCAGTGCACTTCCAGCCAGCCACTCTGTCCTCCTAACCTTCCTAAGAGGCTGCTAGAGGAAGAGGCACACCTCACAGCAAGGAAGGATTGCCTGTTTTTGTCCAAAATAGACATGACAATTTGTTTATTACATTTCAAATTCATTCATGTATGAAAATCTGGCAATATACATAACATGTGATACATACTGTTTCCTGGCAAGACAGTGTTAGTCATGAATGGCAGCCTCAGCTTATTAACAACTGGGAAAGGGCCTGGCCTCAGCACTTGTACTTCCTTCTTCTGGGACTAAGAATTTTCCAATTGCCAGCCAAAATAGACTGGGAAGACCCACAGACCCACCCTCCAGGGAAAGCTCCTGCATGTCCTACGGGTGTCCTCACAGTCACTGCAGGGCTTTGACTGGACTACAGTTTCCCCTCTGTTTTTCTAAAGCAACCTGTTCTGTAATTATGATACAGAAGTGCTGGGAAGAAAAGAGTGTTGTTACTTTAAATGATACAAAACAGGGGAAGGGAAGGGCTGGGTAGAGGAGGGTGAGGTCCCTGGTAGGACTCCAGTCCCACGGACCTAGGTGAGGACAAGCACTCCTGCCTTCATGCCCAAATGTTACATTTCCCAACACCATTCCGGCCCACCACGTTGAGAGAAGCATATCAGTGGAACAACACAGAGGTGGCTGGACGTTGAGAGAAGTGCACTGTCAGGCACCAGCACGAGGGCAGGCCACTGGCCAAAGCGAAATGATTGAAGAGGAGTCCCACCGCTGGAGAAGAGTTGCGCCACCAATGTCCCAGCTCTAAGGGAAAGCCATCTCCCTTCTGGCTTCCGATCTGCTGAGAGCTACTCCCACTCAATAAAACCTTGCACTCATTCTCCAAGCCCACATGTGATCCAATTCTTCCCCTACACCAAGGCAAGAAACCCCGGGATTGAGAAAGCCCTCTGTCCTTGTGACAAGGTATAGGGCCTAATTGAGTGGGTTAACATGAGCCACCTGTAGACAGCAAACTCAAAGAGCATGCCGTAACACACTCCCATTGGTGCCTCAGATGTAAACATTCACCCCTATACACTGCTGTAAGGTCAGGGCCCCACAACCTGCCCAACTGAAGAAGTGAGCTGCACCCCCACTGCACGCCCTGTGAGGGGAACAAGGGAACCTTTCCTGTTTCAATTACAGATTATCCCAAGAGTGAGTAAAAGTGGTGCATGTTCTGGAATCACTCAGTTGCTGAGAAATAGCGGAGGTGATATGGAAAGTGGAACTTTCCTTTTGGCTTTGGTTGGAGAGGCTCCTTGATTCTGGGTTCCTATTAGGGGTGAGGATCAGGGAAGTGTTGATGGAAGCTGATTTTTTAGATAATGAGTAACGGACACGTTTCAGGGAGCAGCTGTACTCCCCTTCAGATGGTGGGAGGCTGGTGTATGGAGCTGGCACTCTGAGTGTGAATGTGCCTGCTGCTCTCTGAGTGTGGCTGTCTAGGAGGCCCTGCATTCATATCCCCTCTAGTAGCACAGCCACTATTGTCAGTTTCCAAATACAAAACTCGCATCTCCATGATTGCATATATAAATATATATTTAAAATTTATCTAGTTTTACACTTCATATGTGTGTAGTTCATCACACTCCAGGCTGTGGTCAGGGCCAGGGGAGATTAAGGTGGGCTCCTGGGACAGTGAGGTGTCCTCTCCCCTCTGCTGCGGCTTCCCTGATTTTCCAGCACAGGTTTGCAGGGCCAAGCTCTTCACTCTGTTTACAATTTGCCACAGCTCTGAAGCCCTCTAGGGCCCAGATATGACCCACTGTTTAGCATCCCCAGGGCCTCAGAGTGGCCAGTACTTGTGCCTGTGCACAGGAAGTACCTATTAAATGAAAGATAGCACTTGTACATTGATTGCTACTCTGCAAGAAAAAAACAGGGGAGATGGGGTGATGTCTCCCACATCTCTGGATCCCCAGTGTTATGCTCTCCAGGGTGTCAGCCATTAGCCAGGGTTGTCTATTTTAATTAATTTTTTAAAAATGTAATATCTAGCCCCTCATCAGACTGGACACGTTTCGAGCACCCAGTAGCCCTTCACACAATGAAGAGAGAACATTCCCATCTGCACAGGATAGTCTTGCCACAGCAGCTCTGACCTGGCACAGGGTCTGTTTGTTGGATCACTGATCTGAAGCCTGCCTGTAGCGGATGGAGCCCCACATTGATCAGACCGGTGGTGAGAGCTGTAATGATCTAGAGGATAGGGGAGTGGCAGGTTGCAAGGAGGTCCTCTCTTGATGTGAAAGTTTGCAAATGTGACCATTGACCTTATGAAAGCCTCTGATGCCAGAGATCCCAGATGAGTTCTGAGAAGGCTGAGGACAGAGCAGGGAGTTTCTGTGGGAGCCAGTGTGACCTTCTCTGCAGCAGGCAGGATGGGTAAGCTCCTCTGGGTAAACACCTTTCTTGCTGGTGTTTGTGTCTCCAGAGCTTGATTGGCCACAGGAGACATGATTCCAGCCGTGACAATGAAGACACTCCAGGTAGATGCACACTCTGGAGACAGGGTGCCACAGAAGAGGCTTGAGATGTCAATCACCACCAGCAGAGGTCTGTCTGCAGTCCCTGACTCAACGATGGGTGAATAAATTCACTCTCACACCTGGTTCAGTGATTCAAGTGGGCTAGGGATGGTCATCTGCTGCTTTCAGAGGGTGACTGCAGCCAATTGACCAGACTCCTGTCCATCCTCACATTTCTTCAGCATGAATTTTATAATAGAGGTTCTAAGTCAACATGCTTGTGGATAATTAACACGGCGAAGAGTGGTTTTATGATGAGAAAAGCTTTTGGTACCAGGGCCCAGAACAAACACCATTAATGGGTAATTTCCCTTTCACCTCTCCCTAAGAGAACCATCCAGCATAAAGTTTACATGAGGAAAAAGAGTTGAGACAAAGGGATGTGGGATAAAGACACTCACCTGGGAAAGCCTCTTACCATCTATCTTTTCCCTAACATAATGGACCAGCTGTCTTCAGCCTGTCCCAATAAAACCTTTCAGCCTTCCAAAAGGTTTGAGACTAATCTATAACTTTCCCTAAAATTTCCCTAATATTTTGCCAGCCACTTCAAGTGAATTCCAACAGAGGCTTCCCAGGGGCAGCCCAGCCAGTCCTGCTGCTTCAGAGATGAGGAAGAGGGAGGAGGATAAAATCAGAAAAAAAGGAAATATGTGTAATTTGTAAAATGTTAATGATACAATTTAAAAAGCGATTATGTCTATGGCCTTGGAGTGTCATGTCTGTCGCCATCTTTTCTTGCTTTGCTTCTCAAAGATTATCTTTGCCACATGACCTGATCTTTTCTGCCTCTGCCACCACAAATATCAGACACTTGGGTTTTGTTGGTTATCATCTCTTGAGAATTGAGCATCGAGCAATTAGTCTGGGTGGTGCTGGCCTGAACTGTGGGATATCCATAGGCACAGCTCTCTCCCAGACACTAGAGCCTGGGACTGAGCTCTCCGAGGGTGTCAGGTAGGGGTTGGAAGTGGACCTCTCCTATCTGCACTGCACTCCCAGGTCTTGTAGCAGCAACTTGGTGTTTCTGTCCCCACCACTTACTCCTGGTTTAATGACATTCCTGTGGTTGTGGAACCTCACTAATCAGCCTCAGTGTGGAGCACTTGTAGCAAACAGTCTCTTCTATGACTGCCTCTGGAGCTAGGACAGCCCCTTCAGGTCCTGAACTGGGTGAGGGGCTAGGGTTTCATCACTGCACACAGCTCAGTCATAGAGTGCAGGTTGTCTCTGGAAGTGTAATTGTGAGTGACCCCTTATCCAGTTATGCTTGTCTGCCATGGGAAGAGGCCCTCATGATGCAGCAGTGCAAAGGGACAGTCTGGTGTGTGGGGGTTGGACCCCACACACAGGCCAGCACCCCCTCACATTCCGCCCGGGGCACTGGGCCTGGAACCAGAGCGAGACTCCAGCTGGCCCCAATGGCCATAAGGCATCTCTGATGACCCTGGTCGAGCAGTAATATTCAGGCATTTGGGAATGCACATACAGCCCTGAAGAGGCATCATGATGGACACCATCAAGTCCACTAAAGCCCAGCCCTTGTACTGTTTAGACACACTTATTTCATGAAGTAGTTTCTCCAGTAATCTGTTTGGCCTTTTTTCCCAGAAAAAAATGTCAAGAGGTCATCAGTGGAAGGAACCATAGGCCCTGCTGGTATCCAGTGGTAACTGATGCTCACTGTCCTCCTCCTCCACTGCCCTTCAAGCTGCCCCAGCTGGACACTGAATGTGTGTCCACAAAGCCATGTGTGGATATGCAAGCCCCAGTGTGATGGCCTCAGGAAGCACAGCCTCTATGCAGTGATTAGGTCATAAGGGCTGAAGCCTAATAAGAGAGCCTCCCATAGCTTCTCCCACCCCCACCATAAAAGGATGCAGCAGAAATACAGCCACCAACAGAGGAGGCAGGCCTTCCCCAGGCCACCATTGCTTCCACCCTCTTCAGAGGAGGGGATGTTTCTGCAGATGTGTTTTCATCTGGCACGGCCCAGCCCTCCCTGACCCTAAGTCTGGAGCTGGGCTCACGCACATTGCAGACCCAGGAGGGGGAAGGTTTGCTTTATCCATTGGGGAAGCCCTGAGAGGAAGCACCTGCTGAGACCATGCAAAGGTCCCTGCTCAGGGACTCTGCTGTACAAGAGAGAACACTGCTGCTGAGTCCTCCCATTAGTAAGCCCAGGGCCCAGCCTTCAGGCCCTGGCTCCTTGGAGTAAATGGTCCTTATTGAGTAGCTGTGTAAGGACCACAGCATCAGCCCCTCATGCCTCTCCTGGTCAGAAGCCACACACTCCACCATGGTCCAGAGAACTGAGAGCCCAGCTGGTCTCTGCCATTCACCAGTCACTGTTCACACATGCACGGTTTAACTCCAACATTTGGGCCTGAGAGATCTTCTCCCTCTCGTCACACAGCATGTCCCACTGTGGCAAGGCAGTCCTCACAACCCTCCCCACCTGTCCCCATTTTCGCCCTTGATGGGACAGGGGGCCATCAACAAAAATGCATAGGGTCATTATTTAAGAGGACATTTTTAAGGAAAGAAAGACCCGCTTCTCTTGTGACCCCTCCACCCAGAGGAAGGACACCATTCTCCCAGCATGCAGCCAGAGCCACAGCCCTGAGAGGGCACAGGGTGGTTGGGGTCCCCCACACCAGGTGGGTGTGCACATCAGAGTGGCATTGGGGCTCTGGAGAAATGTGGAAGGCTTGGAGTTGCCTAGAAAAGTAAGGACCAAGACTAGGAAGTCCCCAGACACCCTATCCCAGACTGAGACTCAGTTCAGTCATATTTACTAAATATAATTTACAATAATTCACCTATGAGTCTTAATGATGTATGCTACCACCCATAATTACATTATATTAAAGCCCTATTTTAGTTCTGGATGACAATCTGGTCCACTTTCCTGCTCTCTTGCCTCTGGGGCAAGGAATCAAGACCCCAAAGACAGTCTCATTCTTCTTGATAGGCTCAGGCTGAAAACGAATGCAGCCCATCCATTCATTAGAAGTCACCCCTGTGTCAACCCCACCTGCCTTTCTCAGTCCAAGGCAAATGGCTGAGGTGGAGGGAATTTCACCCTCCTGATCAAGAGCCTGACACCATCGGACCACACTGGAAGGTGTCACCAAAATGGTGACAGCCTCCTTGGGATGTTCTAGTTTGCATGTGCACCCCAAAGGAGTCCCTTTTGTGATGGGCACTAGCCCAGTATTCCCACAATGACTTGTGCACAGGACAGTGCCTGAGAAGAGGGCCAGGCTGCTCCAGCCATGAGGACAATGCCCTGCAGGGGGCCTGAACACACAAAACAGGGAGGGTAAAAGCCATGAACTCTGTGCTTTCAGCAAAGCTCCCCACACACCTAAGGGTCCAGGGCCTCTGATACTCAACATAATCCTGTCACCATGGTCAATGAAAATTCCAACCCTCTTGTGTTGGGGTTCTGCCCACCATAGATCAGTTCAGCTGGCCCATGCTCCCAGAGTGGCAACATGGCCCCTGCATGAATTCCTGATCCTCCATCAGTACCCTGTGGGATGGGTCTTCATGTGAGAATGTCCCTCATTCCCAAATGTCCCCAGGCCCACTGAAGTCTGGGCATGAGCAGCAGATGACCTTGGGGTGAGGGGAGAATGGTTATCGCAGGACCTGATTCAGTGAGCGGGGAGCCACACCTCACTGTGGAGAGGCTTCTGTCCTCCAATATCCCTGGAGCTGCAGAGACCTCCTTCCTCTGAGCCATGGGAGAGGATAGTCCCAGAGACTGGAATGAACAGTTGGAGGAAAAGCAACCTCACTTGGAGCTGCTCAGTGGAACTGGGCTTGGGGCTCACTGGACCCAGTGACCATCCAGAAGCTCTCAGACCACACACGTCCTAGACCCTGGGCTGGCACGGATGGGGACATGACATTCTTCCTCATCCATCATGCCCTTGGAGACTGCTGAGCCCTGAGGACTGATTGATGCCTGTTGAAATATAATCAGAACTGGCCAGGCATGGTGGCTCACACCTGCAATTTCAGCACTCCAGAAGATTGAGGCAGGAGGACTGCTTGAGGCCAGCAGTTCAAGATCACCCTGAGAAACATAGTGAGATTCCATCTCTAGGAAAATAAACAAAATTTTAAAAGTAGGCAGGCATGGTGCCATGTGCCTGTAGTCTCAGCTACTGGGGAAGCTGAGGCAAGAGAATCACTTGAGCACAGGAGTTCAAGGCTGCAGTGAGCCATGATCGCACCACTGCACTCCAGCCTGGGCAACAGAACAAGACCTCATCTCTGCAAAGAAAAGAGAAGGCCGTGTGCAGATGGAAGTGGTGGCTGGAGTGACACAGGGGTAAGCGAATGAACGACAACAATTGCTGGCAAGCAGCAGAAGCTGAGAGGCAGGGAAGAGGCCTCCTCTGGAGCCTCCAGGAGCCAGTCCTTAGCACCCCTCAAGTGAGGGCTTCTGGCCTCTGGTGCTGGGACACCATGCGTTTCTGTCATCATAAGCAACCCAGTCCCTGGCAGTTAGTTACAGATGCCCTGGGATGCTCAACCAGCCGTCTGACAAGGGCAAGCTCCAAGGAAGGGATTCCCTCCTTATCTATGTTGTTTGAAGATTTTACAATAATTTACTCCTGAATGGCTCACCATTGTTAACCAACACAAATAAAATAGTAAAGAAATGACCTACATCTTCAGGTGGGAGTTTGGTCTGCCGCTTATCAAGTGTGGAATCTTGAACAAGAGTTAAACATCTGAATGTCTTCATCACATCATCTGTAAAGTCGGGGTGCTCACACCCACGGGGCTCACCTCCCAGGTTGGTGAACTTTCCCTGAGCCCGTTCTTTCACCAGCCACATTCACTCTTCCCCCAAAATGGCGCTAGTGACTGTGATGGCTTTCCATACCCACCACGTTTGTCTCTAACCCCAGCAGCAGATCGATGTCAGCAGAACACAACTGAGTGCTCCTCTCCTCATGCCCCTTCAGGGGTTCCTCACCACCCACCAGTACAGGTGCAAGCTTCCAAGCCTTGCTGGACACCTTCTACGTTCTGAGCTCCACCTGCCTTCCCATCCCCAGCCTTCCCCACCTCTAGTGGAAAAGAGCTGGGTGTGTGGATGGTTTCTGAATGCTGAGCACGACCTTTTGCAGCCAGTCCACTCCTTATGCTGTCCCTATCAGCGTCTCCACCCTAAGCCTTTCCATCCTGGAGCCTCCTCCCAGGGCCCCACAACAGAAGTGACTTCCCTGTCCTTTGAATTCCTATAGCACCAGGCCTACTATCCCCCATTAAACTGAAAACTCCTTTTGTGGAAAAGAACTTGATTCATTACTGTGCTATCACACTATCTTATGGAGAACAGATTGTCAATAAATATTTGCCAAATAAAATAATAACAGTTACAAAATGCTTGTTTTATATGGATTAACACTGGTTCTAAAACTGAGAAATTACAAACAGCACTGATATTCAGCCAGTACACACAAATCTGGGCATAGCAGTTGCAAAATACTGAAATATCCACTGCCACTGACCCTTAGCATCCAGATGCCCCCCACTGCCACTGCTCTCCTCCCTAGAGCACCTGGACCTCCCACAGGCTCCTAACTAAAGGGCTGACCACAGCCGGGAGCACCCAAGACCCAGCAGCCACATGGCTGGGTCCGCTGGTGAAGCCATCCATCCTGATTGATCAGGTCCTGCAGGGTTTCAGTGTTAAATATTTTGATAATATCCCTGATTATAAATAAGGCTCAATTATATAGTTGGAAAACGATGCTTCTCCTCATTGCAAAATCTCTTAGAAGACTCTAGATTCAGGACGGAAGTGGAAAATGATAGTATGTCCATCTCTGAAGGTTTTGGGCACATGCATTAGCACTCTGTCTTCATGTAAACCAGAAGATATGCAGTTTCTTGCCTAGAGAGATGAGAAGACACAGCACAGCAGCATGAAACCTTCATCAGAAAAGGATGCTTCATTAATCCATGACATGACAAGAGTCAGCAAACATCCAGGCAGCAGGATCAAGCCTTTGTCTATCCATCACCTTGGAGAAGAACAAAATAGACGGCCTGGGAAGATAAGCACTAAGTTTCTGTTAGTTAATATCTAAAACAGAGGCTAACAGGCTCCAGGCACACAAGCCAAATCCAACCTTGTTGGGTTTTTAAAATAAACTTTCACCTTTTATGTCAGAGTCAGCGGGCACATACACAGGTTTGTCACGGGTGTGTGAGCATAGTACACAACAGTTAGTTTTTTGCCCCCCCTTTTCCTGTCCATCAGTTCCCAGTGTCTATTCCTGCCATCTTTAAGTCAATGAGTGCCCAGTGAAAATATTCATTGTTTGTTTTTTGATGGGACTGGTTCTTGCTCTGTCACCAGGCTGGAGTGCACTGGCACAATAATAGCTCACTGCAGCCTCATACTCCTGGGTTCAAGTGATCCTCCTGCCTCGGCTTTAGCTTCCTGAGTAGCTGAGACTCTAGGTGTGTACCACCATGCCTAATTATAACTTAAACTTTTTGTAGAGATGGGTCTTGTTTTGTTGCCCAGGCTGGTCTTGAACTCCTGGCTGAAAGTGATCCTCCTGCCTCAGCCTCCCAAAGTACTGGAATTAAAGTTGTGAGCCCACACTCAGCCTCCAAGCCCCTTTTTGGAAATAAATTTAACTGGCCCCCAGCCACACTCATTCACCAGGTACTGTCTGTGTCTGCTTTTGCTCCACAGGGCAGAGTTAAGTGGCTGCAGCAGACACTGTGCAGACCACAAAGCCTGAAGAACTTTCTCTCCAGCCCTTTACAGGGGAAGGCTGCCAACCTCTGATCTCAATAACAGGGAAATCAATGGCAGCCACTAAGTGGCAGAGATTGGGTGGCTAAGAGGATGTTCAGAATAAACAGGAGAGAAAGATGAAAAGTAGAATGAAGATTTCAAACATGAGCTTCACCTAATCCATTATTTTTCAAATGACCAGGTCTATCTCTGTAGCTGAAAATCACCTCAAATAGCATTTCTGATATACAATCTAAAAGCTTAGCTAAAAAAACTTCCAAAGTCTCTCTGCTTAAACTTCGTCCAGCCTTTTTTTCTCCAGTTTCTCCTCTGTGGTCATTGGTTATAAACATATTTATTGGTGCTAATACAAGCCAGACAAATATGAAAAAAGTCACCCTTCCCCCAAAAGAGTTATATATATATAGTCTAATGTTACAGAAAGTTATGTAAGCAAAGAATTTTAAAAACTAGTGGCTGGGCATGGTGGCTCACGCCTGTAATCCAAGCATTTTGGGAGGCTGAAATGGGCAGGTGGCCCAGCATTTTGAGACCAGCCTGGCAATATAGTGAGACTATAATGAACACATAATAAAAGACACAGCCAGGTGTCTGGCCCATGCCTCTCATCCCAGCCACACTGGAAGCCGAGGTGGGAGAAATGTTTGAGCACAAGATTTTGGCACCAGCCTGGGTAATAGTGAGACCTATCTCTATAATGAATTTTTAATTAGTCAGGTGCAGTGGCTTACGCATGTAGTCCCAGCTACTCACGAGGCTGAGGTGAGAGGATTGCTTGAGCCCAGGAGTTCAAGGATGTAGTGAGTTATGACTACACCACTGCACTCCGGCCTGGGCAATAGAATGAGGACCCATCTCTAACAAAAAACATAAAACAAATTCCAAATGTGAATACACTAAAAATATTAAAACTAAAACAGTCTGTCCTGCAACTTTGAATACTTTGTGGATTTTTCCTCCTATTTCAAACATATACATCATACATTGGTCCCTGGAAGCCCATTCTCAAAGGCCATGTTCTCCACTGTCACATTAACAACCATGAGCTGCAATGATCTCTCCTAACAAGCTTTATTCTCTCAATAGCTCTTTCAAGTTGCAAAGCACTTTAACAACACAATTGTAACCAAGAGCACACAGGGTGACTTTGAAATCCCTTCTACTTTGACACAGACCTCGTATGTTCACCCAAATCCCATATCCATACTGCTTTTTTTCCGTGAGAGATGTGGATGGTATAAGAAACAAAGGAAGTCATTCATAAAGTCCATTGCAGAACATAATCTTGGCCTACTTCCCAATTTCCAAGGCCATATGATCACTTATGGTCAGACATACTGAGGACCACTTGATCCAATCATTAAATTTCCCCTATGCAAATACAATCTCTGCTCCACTGTTCTGTTTTCATTCATCCTTTCTTAGCTTTTTTCGTATCCATAAAACCTCAGTAGGCCTCTTTTATACTCAGTGTTTTTATTTGCATGAATCTAGTTTATACACTGGAACGCTCCAAGCAATAAATATCAAATATGAACACGAAAGGTATTATATGGTAGGAGGAAAGATAAGTACATTTGACCATCAGGCAACCTAAGGGTCTAAAAAGCCTACCTATATCACTAAGTGAAACACATTTGCTCTTGATTTCTTTCAAAACCGAAGTTGACATTCTTAGAATATACATCCTGAAGTGTTCAAAAATAAAGTTTTATTGCAACTGCAAGTTATTTTTAAACGGTTCAGTCGAAAAGAAGGAGAGGCAGACATAGATAAAACTAATATGACAAAATAAAAACTGGAATCTAGATGTATTGGGTATATAAAAGTTTACTAGCTTTTTTTCTTTTTTTTTTTTGAGACAGAAGAGAACTTTATTTCAGATGCCTGGGCACCCAGGATGACAGCATGTTCATGCCTAAAATGGTCAGGGAGCCTAACAAAACAGGCAGTTCAGCTTATATGCGGTTTGAGGCTGGAAATTGAGGCAGGAAGTCAGTTTCAGACAAAGACAATCAGGTTTTACAAAATTCAGCTTCCTGGTCATTTGACTCTATAACCTTGCAGTTGAGGTAAGGGGTAAAAAGTAGGGGGAGGTGATCCAGGAAGATCAGAAGAACAGGAAATGCAGGAATATGCTGGCTGCCGACTTAAAGATGTGCTCTGGTGCACTTATCTATGTAAAGAGGGGAGTTCCCAGTCTGTTTTACCTTTACTTTTAACTACCACTTATATGCTTATTATTTAAACTATATTCTATTCAATTTCATTTTAGTTCCCTTCCACATTTTCCCCCTTTAAAAGCTTTTTTTTTTTTAAATCTAGATACTATTATCAGAAAGCTTTTACATCCTTTTTTATGAACAGAATGCAGAGTCCAAGTCTCCTCAAAGGCAACTTGCTTGCCTGTGAATTACACTGCTGGTGCATGTGCTGTTCGGTTCCTTCATGGGAGAAGACTGGCTTTTGCTATCACGTTAGCCTTTGAAGACCTCCCGACAACTGTGCCTGTCTTAGGTTGCTCTCAACTTTCAGAGAGTCTTACTCATCAGTGGCTAACCAGCCATCCACCTGGGGGGCACACAGGCAACCTACTTGCTTGCCTGTCAATTACGCTGCTGGTGCATCTGCTCCTAGTGCTGCTTGGTTCCTATAGGAGAGAGCCTGGCTTTTATTATCACTTTAGCCATTACTGGCCTCCCGTGGCTGTGCCTGTCTTAGGTTGCTCTCATCTTTCAGAGAGTCTTACCCGTCATTGGCTAACCAGCCATCCACCTGGGGGGCACACAGGCAACCTACTTGCTTGCCTGTCAATTACACTGCTGGTGCATCTGCTCCTAGTATGAATTTAGCCTTTGCTGGCCTCCCCACGGCTGTGCCTGTCTTAGGTTGCTCTCATCTTTCAGAGAGTCTTACCCGTCATTGGCTAACCAGCCATCCACCTGGGGGGCACACAGGCAACCTACTTGCTTGCCTGTCAATTACACTGCTGGTGCATCTGCTCCTAGTATGAATTTAGCCTTTGCTGGCCTCCCCACGGCTGTGCCTGTCTTAGGTTGCTCTCATCTTTCAGAGAGTCTTACCCATCATTGGCTAACCAGCCATCCGCCTGGGGGCACACAGGCAACTTGCTTGCCTGTGAATTACACTGCTGGTACATCTGCTCCTAGTGCTGCTCGGTTCCTTCATGGGAGCAGACTGGCTGTTGCTATGACTTTAGCCTTTGTTGGCCTCCCCATGGCGACGCCTGCCTTAGGTTGCTCTCATCTTTCAGAGAGTCTTACCTGTCACTAAGTAGCCATCCACCCCGGGGGCACATTTTTGGCTTCTCTCTTGGAGAGAAGCATGAGTAAGCTAGTTAGGAGTTAAACCTAGAGTTCTTTCCTGCACCTTTTGCTCCTGCCTAGGTAGGATTTATATATTACACCCTAGCACATTATTTTGCAAGTCATATTTAAGGCTTAGCCTGTTTACTTCATCCTCACACATCTGTGTTTTGTGAGGCACATACAAGTTGAGGAAGGGGAGAGATGGGAAAGGAATATACCCTATAAAATACTTGTCAATTTAATAGCCTTCTGCCTTTTCATGAGATAAAGTTTTTTCTGTGGATAATGGCTGATGCCTACTTAGTGCCATTGTATGTGTTTTTGCCATCACTGCCTCTACGGTCAACTGTATACTCCTAAACAGGAGTGGCAATAAACAAGGGAATATGAGAGCACCTAATATAAGTACTATGGTCCCTATGAGAGTCTTGAATTTGACCAAAGGATGGGAACCGTCAACCAAAAACGAGTCTGAAGTTCAACCTTTTCCAGGTTCAAGCTGGAACTTGGGCATAACTTTCTCATCTTGGCAGTGATTTCCACAACTACCTGTCCATTGTTGTTAGCTTCTCAACAAGTTAAATTTACCACAGACTCTTCCTTCTGAGTCCAGCAGATAATCTAATGCTAGTCTCTTTTGACAGACTGCGTTTCTTGTGTAGATTGTACAGCTATCAAATCTAAAGCTTTAGATGTTTCATTAGTTATATTTTCTAAGACTGCTTGTAATCTGATAAGGCAATTAATCATGTAGATGGGAGTATGATATCCCCACATCCCATCTTGTGCCCA